GAAAAGGTTTCCATACACTTTACATACATACATATACATTTTTGGGGATTTTGTGTGTGTTTGGGTGGGTGATTGGATGGGTGTGTGTGTGTGTGTGTGTGTGTGTGTGTGTGTGTGTGTGTGCGCGTGTGACTTTGGGCTGGGCTCTGCCTCTCACATGTTGACACCCATCCCTTGGGTTTAAATACCCCATGATGCAATCTGTCACGCACACACACAAACATGCAATAAAGTACACCAACTGTTCCCTCGCACAATTAAATGTGTGTGTGTGTGTGTGTGAGCAGCATTGCCGAGAGCCAACTTATACTGTATGATGTGTCCCTGCTCGATTTTACTGATTTATTTGTCTATTGATGTTTTAAATGTCGCTGCAGACACACAGCTGCACAGATGGAAAGACATATTGATGTATTTATGAGGGAATTTTTTATGACGACAAATATTTGGCTGTGTTTTAAAAGTTTTTTTCTCTTTCCCCTCTTTCCCTCTGTTTGTTTTTCCACCCAACAGCAATCCCGGGAATGATTGTTCAACCCATGTAAAGGTGTGAGTGACTGCGTGCGTGTGTGTGTGTGTGTGTGTGTGTGTGTGTGTGTGTGTGCGTGCGTGCGTGCGTGTGACTGTGCGAGATGAACCAAGCACATTCACACCGATCCCTGCGGAGGATTTCGATGCGAGTCAGACTCCGGACGGGGATGGAAGCAACTGTCCCGATTTGAAGGAACAAACCCAACTCAGGCCCTTTCTAACACAAAAACAACAGCAAGAAAAACAGACGACGAACAAAAAACTGTTTGCAAACAAATAAGTTGTTTAGACTTTGTACACCTTGATGCTTTATAGGAGAACGGCCACACCTACATTACGACTCTCCACGGACACAGGAAGTGTATTTATTTTAGAGAGAATCCATTTCTTCCCCTGAGTGACTTGTTTTTCTTTTTGTGCAACAGTTCACGTGTGATAATCATCTTCTAACTGTATCTCACATGAAGGACTTTCTATTTATGAAGTTTAGTCATTAATGAAGGAATATAATGTGAAGAATGCCTGGTGATGGAGATGATGATGATGATGAGGCTGCAGGATCCATACAGGGTCAAATCCAGCCGACACAGACAAGCCAATCCAGACACACACTTTCACTTCTTATTGCCAAATCCACACCACCGTCAGCAGAAACACTCAGACAGCGAGGTCTTCCTCTGCATTTAATCGATCGGCTGAAGGATTGAGATGCTTCCCGCCTGCTGCAGTTTTAGCCATTCAAGAAATCCCCATGTTTGCTTTGAGCTCGCTTCACGTACATCTTCACTGCTACTTATTTCAGCCAACAGAAGGTGCAGAGAGAAACAAAAATCAGCCAATTCACAAACCGGGAATAAATATATTTTCACCACGCAAGATTCGAGAGAGGAAGTAGACATGCTGCAGATCTGATTCAGGATAGATTTAACTATAAAAAGGACGTAAGTAAGTGCATGGGTTTTTGAACACCGGGTGCCAACGGCAGCTTCACTGTTTAGGAACTGACTTAACTGCTCCGCTGAGACCTCCGTCGGCCCTGTTACCACATGATCTGTTATAAAGTCGGACACCGCCACAGCGACCTCTATGAGAGGGGGAACACGTCTTAAAGACTGCTGCCATTTTGACTTTGATTTTGTTTGAGAGTTGCCTCAAATGTTTGTCTTAATACATAAATCCTTATTTCTGTTTTGTTTTTCTTTTGGTTTTGCTGTGTTACTTTTTTTCTTCCTGCCATCAGCCGGCCAATCAGATTGTGTTTCTTTTGTCACCTGGACACTTATCTGGTGTGACTGAGAATTTGAGTGAGAAAATATTCCAGTGGTGTGTCTTAAATGCTGCACTGCAAAGAATGTCATTAAGTCTTCAACTGAGTCTTAAAATCAATGTGATCTCACAGAAGGACGGGAAATGACCACGACCTCTTAACAGCAAAACTACTTGGTTAGGTTTAGGAACAAAAACATTTGGGCCTGGTTTAAGATTACTGACGTAGCCTATCTAATCGTAGAAAGTCAATGTTGACTTTTGCTTTCACAGGGGACACGAACACCAGTGTCCTGGGTGAAAGTCTCTTGTTTGAACCATCCATCAATCCACCCGAACCACCTGCCCACCTTTGATTAACACGTGTTTCTGCTGAACCTGGGAATTTGTGTGTCCACCACGACGAGGGATCCTTATTCACTTTCCATTAGCATTGTTTCCGTGGTGCCGGCACATCATTTTGACACATTACCACCTCCATGTAATACGCTGTTAGGAGGTCATGGTCATTTCACGTTTTGTGGTGAGATCAAGCTGCTTAAAAACATCTTCCCCTGAGGTCCACTTTCTTTTAAATCTGCTCGTGAGATCAGTTCATTTTTACAGTACAACTGTAACTCAAAGAACACCATTTCACCAATTTGCATCCCATTTTGCACTTCTCCAAGAGGTAAAGATGAGGTATGAATTTACAAGTCTTGTAAAAACAAAAAAAGGCTTTTTTTGCAGCGCAGGACAATTAGCCAGTGACATGTCTTAAATGTGTGGTTCAACAGTCTTAATTCATTCATGATCATGTTAATTTTGCCAAAGCCCTTATTTGAGACATTACTGCCTAAACAGTCTTATGCCACAGCTTCAACGCAATTAGTTTTGTTTTTCTTTTTGTGTCATACATGTAAGAATGCCATGCTATGTATGCTGTTGGTGTTGTTTTCAGACCTGCAGCAGGTAGCGGTCACAAATTTATCTTTGTCTGTTTGTCATCAGGGTCATGGCATTAAAAGAAACTATTTGAAAGTGAATTTGGATTCTTAACTGGACAGAAACTGGCATCACATGCTGATTAAGTAAACCCCTCTTATTTGATGAAGATGAATCATTTGTCTCTCATGTCAAAGTTATTAATCTTTTTTGTTTTGTATTATAGTGTCTGTTTATTAAAAGCCATACTTCCACTGCTAATTCCAATCAAATTAAAACAAGCCATGGTGTTGTTCTTTTTGCTTTGTAAGTCAGAAAAGCAGGCGGATATTATTCATTTCGTCACAATGTTGTTCGTATCATTATTGTTAAAGTTTGCATAATTGAGTTGTGTTATAGGTATAGAGTTCATAAATATGTCTTTATGATGGAAGATGGAAGATGGAACAGCTGCTTAATGAAGGCTTTCTCCTGCTTCTGTCAGGTTTTCTGTCCTCTCTTCGCTCCCTTCCTGCATTCATTTCCCTCCTCCACCTTGTTTGGATTGTGCTTTTAATACTCTGTACGTTTGCCCTCTTTCTTTCCTTTCCCTCACAAAATGAGCCACCTATTTATTTTATCTCAAATATGGGTCTGGAGACCACTTTTTTATGTTTGTGTCTACGTGTGAGAGTGCCTGCGACTGGTGTGTCTGAGTGTGTCATCATTTTTCTCTGAAAGAAAAAACGTGATGTTTTTAAAGTTGAAGGATGTTTTTCTTTTTATAGTACATATATAAATACCTGTACAGGAAAGGAGTACATAGAGGGTTTGGTTAAAAGAAGTATGATCCGAAGCACTTGTCCAGCAACAGTTAATAACGGTTATCACGGCTTGTCTGCGTTCAGGCTCACAGTGGTGGTCATCATCCATACACACATTTATCAGCAGTATCAGTGTGGAGGGGAAGAGTACAGAGGAAACTACTGTAAAGATGATAATGTTGATTCTTTTTTTATTTTAAACTTTGAAGTGTAAAATAACTTTTTGATTCTCTATATTTAATTAAAGTTCTTTCTTCTCTGTGGAAAAGCTGTCAGTTTTTTCACTTTGTTGCTTTTCACCGCGGAGAGCCACACATGCAAGGAAAACACGCAAATGAGGATACAATTAAGGGAATTGAGACACAGCGATGCAGCTTTCTTCCCAGCCTCTCTCGCTGCAGGAGCTTGTAGGGAGGAGTCAGGTCATCACCAAGATTCAGCTCAGCTGTGTCAACTGCCTCAATCCTCTATATAAACTGGTGGGAGTCAGGCCGACTTCCTTTAGATAGGCTGAATGGTTGCATTTAGTTTGTTTTCTCTTCACTTAAAATAAACCTGTTTTAGTTCAAGACCTCAGGTCTTTGTCCCAACTTTGAGACCTTTGAGGACATTCACCTCTTAGAAAGCCCAAAAGACATGAACTTTATTGTTTCCATTAACTTTACCTGCAGATGGTGATGAAGAGAGGAACAGGAGTGTTAAAGATCTGCAATGAAAGAGGGTTCAATGTTGAATAAGCAGTGAGTCAAAAAAAAAAAGTGAATTCCTTTAACATTCAGCGTGTTTCTGAAACAGCGCTGGCTTAATTCTCTGCAATGTTGAAAATCAAACCTGCAGAACAAAAAGTGAAAGATCGGGTGAATTTGATACCTTCCATGCAGTGAAAGGGTTTCTTCTAGACGGCTGACTCAAGTTTATCTAATGTCTTGGTCACACAGTATCACACATTATCAGCCCAATAATGGCCTCACCTGACAGACATGAGCCGTCAGGTGTGACCATTTCTCAAAGTACCCCCTGCTACAGATGCAGCATGTGTGACACCTCAATGTTCCAACATTTTTTTGTTATTTTGCGGTCTGCTGTTGAGTTTGATAACAGGGACTTTGACCCACACACATACATTTACAGAAAATATCTTTCTGTAAATGCAATCAAATATGCAACACACACACAACATAAAACTAAACAAAACGCATTGAGCCAGTGATAAATAAAAGTGACACACATTAAATGTCGGTTTGTCATAAAACTATCAGCATTCATTGATTCAAAATAACTTTATTTGAATTCGCCTTTCATGCAGTACGGATTGGTGCTGTCAAAAATGCTTTACAGCTGACTCAACCTGAAAAGACGAAGACATTGTGAGGCACAAAACAGTTAATCTATAGAGGAAAATGTGAGATTAAAATGTGGATAAAAGTGAAATAAAATAGTTTAAATGTGACTGTAACCTCCTTCTTGACTGTTCAAATGTTAAACTCTATTCCAGTAAAGATCACACAGCCAGAGAGGCTTCTAGGTCAAACTGTTACACAATAAGTTGTAAAACTGAGACAGAGGCGTTATTCGCTCTGTGGGTATATTTGTTTTATTATTTAAATCTTTCTTTTTCTTTCTATTTCTCCTCCATTCTTCTGTCACGTCAAGCTGTTTCTGTCTCCAGCAGCTCTGATGTTGAGCAAGGCTACCAGCCCTGCCAGCGATGTGGTCATACACACCGTGTGTGTGTGTGTGTGTGTGTGTGTGTGTGTGTGTGTGTGTGTTCATAAACAATACAAATTCTCTTGTGAGAACCATTTCTGTAATGAGACAGATGGGCCCTGCCTGGAGTTAGCTATCAGCACAACCACAGGCTGTGCGTGCATGCGTTTGTGTGCGTGTGTGTGTGTGTGTGTGTGTGTGTGTGTGTGAGAGTGTGTGTGAGGTGTTATTCTCCTATTTCTAGCCTGCAGGCTTAATCAAAGAGGAGCCACAGATGTCTTATTGACACCAATTAGTTTCTGTCTCATGGCACACACACACACACACACACACACATTAATGTATTTAGAGTGTAAACACACATCTGCGTTTTCGTTTGAGTTGATATGAGTTGAATTTGGGATTATTTATGGCCTCGTTTCGATGAGTTGAAGAATGCAGTCAATTTGTTGGAGCGCTAACTGCACACATTCACAAGTCACAAAAAAACACCAATTCGATAGCTTGTTGCCTCTGTACGTGTGTGTGTGTGTGTGTGTGTGTGTGTGTGTGTGCGTGTGAGTGATAAGTCTGACGAGACAGGACTGAAGACATCCATTAGCTAATGGATCTCCCTTCTCTAAAAATGTTCTCCTCTCTCCTCTTCTCTCCATCACCACATCACACTCCCGTTGCTCTTAACCCCATCAGGAGGAACCACACACACACATGCACACGCACACACACACACAAACACACGCACACACACACACACACCCTAATCCCCTCTCTCCTCCCTCCTCCTCCTCCCTCCTCCTTCAGCTGGATTCAAACCCTTTATGTACACAGGCTGTACATGCTGACAGCAAGCTTTCTTTTGAGGTTTGGCTCCGTTCACAGAACAGTTTCAAAATCAAGAGTGAGACCAATAAATTTCAAAGTACAGCAACGCTGGACAGTGAAAAGGGAACAGAGCAGCTTTCACCTCACATCATGGTGAAACAGTTCAAAGTAAATAGCTGCTGTATATAACGTGCATATATGCGAGCACATTCTGTTAGGTACATTTGTTCAACCTACATTTGCTGAATTTTAGTTTGATAAGTAAGTAATTGCCTTGATTGATTGATATTTAATATGAATATAGTTTACATAAATCTGCAGATCCTCCTTGTATGAGTGCTCACTGTCGCCCTGCCACACTGGTGTCAAAACTCTCCTCTCTTGTGTCTCTTTTAGTGAGGCAGTAAGATTTTTGACAAACACCTCGTCCTTTCCAGAAAAGGTTTGCCTACATGTGGCAGTTTGATGCTCTAATGCTCAGTTTGAGTAGCCTTGCCTGGAGGTCCAGAGGGCTCGAGGGCTTTGTCACTTGAACGTTAACATACAGTTATGTGGTCTTGAGGCAACAGCTGTAATGGCTGATATACGGTCATTTTCTGGCGGTTGAGGTTGACGGTTTGTTTAACAAACGCAAGAAGACTGTGAAAGAAAAAGTGAACGAACGACGAAGGAGGAATCGAGTTAACGGGAGCAGAAGATAAAAGGGTGAGAGAAAGGATAAATATGAGGATGAGTGGGAGATGGAGGAAGAGGAGAAGAGGAGGGTGACATGATGATTGTGTGTACGGGGGTGAGTGGTAATGGAGTCTTCTCTCCATGGAAAGGTGATGTTGCTGTATGATTTAACAATCGAGAGCAGAAGAACAATAAAATCTCACCACTGTCTGTGTGTGTGTGTGTGTGTGTGTGTGTGTGTGTGTGTGTGTGTGTGTGTGTAAGTGTGTGTCTGGCTGGCCTGTGCATTTGAATGAAAAGTGCTAAAGCTAAGTACGGGGGATGGCACTCTTTCACTGCTGCCACTCCAAAAGCACTTGTAACACACACTTACACACATACTGAAACACACTCATACCCACTCACTTAAGTGGAGGGTTTGAAATTGAGCTGGGACTTGGAGCGAATACTCCAAACAATTATCTCTCTCTCTCCTGCGTCTAGTAATCCATTACCCATGAATATATTCACATCTGCCTCTTTATTTTTCTTTTCCCGCTCTTCCTCCCTCCATCCTCGTCCTCTTCCTTCACACATCATCACCTCCCTCTTTTCTCCTCCCTCACAGGTGATGGCATCTTTCCCTCGGGCCTCGGACAAAATGTGACAATACAGCGATCATACTTCTGATTTATGGCAGCCGGTGCCTGTCACATAATGTCCACACTGTGGTTATTAGCTGCAAGTGATACACTATGTTGGCAAGATGTTGGCTGGTTCCTCCTGGAACCAGAAAAATGGAAATGTATTTAGGGATTTGTTTTTAAACTGTAAAAAGCAGGAAAAGCTGGGTTGAAAAAACTATAATACAAATTAATAAAAAAAGTGTATTTTGTTGCCAGTTGGTGATCTGTGAAGAATAAAATTGGCAGAGTGCTCTTTCTTAGTCACTTTCAATCTAGACCTGTGACATCATCACTTCCTACCTGATGATATCACCCGCTGCCAGGAAGCTGATGTCCAGAAATGTGTGGTGAATGGCAGGGATGACTGATGATGATATCATCCTGTTGATCGCCATGAAATAAAAAGAAAATACAGCCCTTCTGGTTTGCATGGTGATGATGATGATGTCAGTGCGCATGTGTGCTTGTGTGTGTCGGACCACAGCATGTGGATATGATATCATCACATCCCACCAGGAGTAATGCCTATCCCAATCATCTCAGGAGTCTCACACACACAGGCCACACACAGTGCTTTGGCAGTGCTCTAGTCCAGCCGGCTGTGTTAAAGGCCAGACAGAAAAGTCAAATGTCACGGCCGTGAGTTTCTGCTCACCTTGCAGAAACACTGACTCCGTTCTGAGCAGGCCTGAGCTTCAGCATGAAAAGCTTCTGCCAAACAGCTGACAGCAGGAGGCTCTGATAGCACAGCGCATGTCAGAGTACACCGTGAGAGGAAACACAGGAGAAAGACGCTTGGAATGAAGACAGAGTATCGTTGTAGTTTGGAATTTGTTTGTGACCTTTCCTTTCATGACGTATTGATACCACCCCCCCCCCCCCCTCTCTTTTCATCAATAAGATATAAGATATACAAACAGATCTTACAGGCAGCTGAACACAAGTTTTCTGACTCCTGTTTTTCTTAATTTTGGAGACATTGTCCTTGAAGGTTCTCAGCTTTGTTAATTGTCATTCAATGGCAACAAAGGAACCGTATTATCGTATAGATTTTATGTTATAAAACAGATTAAATGTTGATTTGCACTGGCAATTGGCTTTTATCACAATACCACAATCATGCAAAAATAAGACTGAATTGAAGACCTGCTTAGAAGAGAAAACCAACACTAACAAGTGTAGCTAGCAGCTTGTTCATTAGCAATCTGTGTAATGAATCAACTGAACCTGCTTGTTTCCCCTAAATTCAACACGCACAGATTCAGTGTTTATAATATTTTGTTAAAACAGATCAGTGATGCTGTTTTGCCCTTATTGTTTTCCGTGAAGTTTGCTGGAAGTGACATAATGTAACGTCTTATGTGAAGGGAGCACTGCGCCGGACTCTGCGCCTTGGGTGCTCTGATTCATTTGGCACGCAGTTAAAACACCGGCCATGATTTTGTTTTAATGAAAACTCAACTCCTGGTATTTGGTTCCGGTGTTTGTCTTCACCGTTTGGGAAAGAAAAAACAGGAGTAACAGGCAAACTAGCTTTAAAAGTGACGTATTTTATTTTTAAATAAGTGTGTTTGTTGAATTTATGCTGAAGTGAACAGTAACACATCAAAATGAACTGATGAATATTTAAAGAAAGTGTGTGTGTGTGTGTGTGTGTGTGTGTGTGTGTGTGTAACTGAACCCCGGATTTTAGTTAATTTGTGAATATTTGAGCAGAGAGAGTTTACAGCACATAAACACACACACACACACACACACACACACACACACACGCAGTGTTTTTACAGTTTCTCAACGTGCAGCCCTCTGAAGCTCTGTGCTGCCAACTGAGTGCTCAGGCAGGAGGTCTGCAGCCTCCGCTGACCCCCTCGGCGACCCCTGGGAGTCTTTTTCAGAGAACCGTGGTTTGAGTGTGTAACACCGAGCACTGTGCGAGGTCGGATCTCCTGCTGCAGTAAACACAGAAACACAGTTATCAATAGTTCATCAGCTGCCATGGACTTTAACCCTTCGATGCAGAACTACAGTGTAGCAGACCTCTTTTTGACAAAAAAACATACATTTTAATTTGTTTTCTCAGCAATGCTTCAGTTAAATTGTTTCAATAAAAACTGTGTAT